TCGTGTCCCCACAAATTAACAACGTGCCGGTATTTTCGGTATTGCACGTGGTAACTGCGCATCCTATCTTATTAGGCAGCGAAATGAAAATTCCAATTGAGGAACGGTTACGCGATATATTCAAGTGCAGGGCATGTCTAAAAACGACGTTCAAAGCGAAAAAGTTCCACTAATTTTCACAATCTTACTTATAGCAGTTTGGTATGTATTCTGATTAATGAGTTGACCGCGCCGTGTATGTTACAGTCGCACATTAGACGGAATGCTAATCCGTTAGAATGCGTCATACCTGGTTGATATCGGAAACACATCTATATTACAGGTAATCTGTTTCACATTTTTACCACAGACCTAAATTACGGGTCATGATACATTGGTTGAAAAAATGCGCCATGAACAAAATTTCTCGATATAGTTTTAAAATGAAATAAATTCACGATAATAAACTAATACTGACTTGAGCAGTCGTCTTCGTCGGAAGCGTTATTGCAGTTATTTTTATCGTCGCAAACTAAGGAGTCGTCAATACAGCGATCATTCCCTAAACACTTGAACTCGTAAGTGTCGTTGCACGCTATATCGGAATCTGAAATGAAAGAATGATCTTAGTCTTACATGATTGGTAATTCCTGGAACATTTCATCGATCATATAGGCAATGCTTACTAAAATCAGCTGACTCTCATTCAATCAGATTTATTAAGGATTCAATGCCAAACATATTCAGGTTTCCTCTTTACTTACCATAATGGAAAGCGGTGAAGACTAAACTGAACCCTCTATCTACATAAAAATCATCGGTGACCAAATGAATATCTGCACTATTCCCTGTTGAGTACATGTCAAAAGGTTCCCCATTGCCGCAAAACTTTCTCATAATTGAGCCATCAGTGTCATAAACTTGTATGTAGTCGTCACAATTTCGATTGAAAAGGTATATCCAGGCAAACTAAGATCATGAATGAGTATTTCATTAGGTAGGCACACGCATTGAACTGCTGCCGGTAGAACTTGTCAGAGTGGTTGTCAAATAATGCACAACAACAGAAGATATATGTTAAATATACATACGCAATGGACATCTTAATGACTGTTGTATTGCACTACGATATAAGTAAACATATCAATTCAAGGCACGGCCATGTGAATGAGATTGTATATACACACTGTTGTCTAAAATCTAATTGATACTGTGTTCGGATGTGCAACCAAGTATTTGTTGTACTGGATTACAAGTGTTATGGGAGTGCCGTGAAAATCACACAAATGTTGGGTCAAGTAAGTAATTTTACAAAAGCCATTTATGTATTCATTCGGGTAATACACGTACTAAGTAGAACAAATGTACTTCAAACTACGACGCGAATTGTATGGAATGCAAAAAAGCAAATATAACAAATTGACTTATATATCGACAGTTCTATTGTATAATTACCAAGGACTACCGATTACCATCTACCACTTTCTATATATTTATTGGTCTAGCAACGTTCAACTATTTCTACACAGTAAATCAATGTTTTATACTTACATCTAAAGTTACTATCTGATAATCGTACGTTGCCTGTATGGTCACACGGCAATCCATGTTGTTGTCATATTTTTTAGAAGACTGGGAGTACAGTCGGTCGCCATGGACACTGATAGTTTCTCCACAATGCTCGTCTAAGTACACTATTGAGGAAACAAATATGGTATACAATACACTACGTAAAGAGTAATTCACAACTAAAATTATATTTGTGCAAATTCTACTAACTCTCAAATGACGACTACTGACTTGAGTGAATCTATACTTCACCAAATAAACAGAAGGAAGCGTAATAATAACATCACGTTTATTTGAAAATACTTATTGCTAGATTTTCAGAAAAAAGATAATTCGAATATTTGAAGCGTCACACAGTTGACAAATAGTTAATAGACTGAATTGTATGTGGATTGCTTTTGTCATTCTGGATTAGAATCATACAACGTAGTGATTAAATAAGGATGGCCATTTAAATGACTCTGATTAAATAGTTAAAACGATGCTGCCATTCAGACACACAGTGTATATGATAAATTAAAGCGATGTGTAAAACTCATCCATGCGCATTTTTAAATGCACCAAATTCACTATTTTTTAAACACCGTATATTAATTCGATTATTGAAAAGAGGTATTCAAGTATTGCGTTAAAAACAAACGGATTGCAGTGCTCACTAGGAAAAGGCGAGTTAGGTAGGTGGCTTTTGTCGTTCATTCATTCTATGCTCGGACAAACGCCCCTGTAGGACAAACGCCCGGACAAATGTTCCCATTCAAAAAAAACCTGGTATTTGGGTACGCAACACTTCATTTCAGGTGAGTATACTTCAAGTTGCCATTCTATTGAATCTGTATTACACTGATCTGTACAATATCGCATTATGAACAATAAATTAATTTTACTACATTAATGAGCTGCAATATTTACAATAGTAAATATGTCGCTGTCATAAACACTGCATGCCTTTAAAGAGGCAACATAGAACGTAAATATAGAAAATGCTACTACCGGGGAACGTGCGCTCCAATGTAAAATATTAATTCAAGAGGTTAGCCAATATACAAACCATTTCGTACTATTGACTGCATGCGTATTACGCGCGATTCTTCAAATGCCGAAAAAAATGTTTCGGTAATTGTTCCGCGGGCGAATGTCCGGTGAGCAAAAATCTGAGGACAGTGTTAGAGGGCGATTCTCCTACAGGGGCGCTTGTCTGGGGGCTCTTGTCATGACACCGAATATTCAGCGAAGGGAAGACGGAATAGCGTCGTATGTGATTTCCGTGAAATGCTGAACTTGAAATGAGATTACAAAAGAAAGGTGCAGTAAATTAGAAATGTTAAATAAAAATACCTCCGAGTCGACAGATATATGCACGTGAGAATAATTTTACTCGTCATTAGAGCATCTTCAAAAAGTAGCAACAACGTCAAAAGTTTTATTTAGACAATCACATTGACTTGCAGAAATATATGCACTAGCCTAGACTGGCGCAGTCGGGCGATTAATTTGTTTTTGTAGTTTAAATAAAATAAAAAAAATCGCGAAATGAAGGTGTTACGAAATCCCCTGTAACTGCGAAATCACCCCGACTGGTTTATTCTGCATGGCCCTCTATCAACACTGCAGGAACCCGTCGATTTTTCAACGGGTAATTATGTTAATGAGTGTTGTAATTGGCAATCATATAAGCCAATCACAAGGTCTTTTCAACTGACCTCTGGCCGAGAAGACGTCGGCTGATAGTAGCAGCCAATGAAAAGAAAATGTCACTACATCTAGAAACTACATTAAAACCTACGTTTTACAGTTTCTATGCTACATTCTAAGTCTATTTACGACGACTACGACAAACTCGAATTTCAACGTGCCGCCTTGTTGGGTCTGCAGTGTGACCTTTACCATATTGACCTCATTATGCACGTATTTCCGCGCCCACCTCATTATAATATGTGCATTCATGAATATTTAATAGCAATGAATTTCCTGCATAATAAATTTTATTTAAACTACAAAAACAAATTAATCGCCCCGACTGCGCCAGTCTAGCACTAGCCCAACATTTGTCCTACACAAATACGTAAATTACCGGAAATATTTCCCGGTGTTTTTTTTATGATTAGAGTAATTGTTTCGTAATGATTAAAGTAATTACTTCCGTGTTCAAACCACACAAAATTTAATTTACATCAGAGCCCGAAATATGTGTTTTGAAGAATTATGCAAAAAATTATATAATATTATATAACCAGATGGTGAGCTAGTTGTCTAGGTGACATCCATGACGTTCAACAGTATTCATAATTCATTCTTAACGGAGAACTCGGTACTATAGTTTGTAACGTGTGGTGTTTCATAGATGAGCTGCAATGTATTACAAAGTTCGATGACCTTGATTTGTATTAAAACTGAGCACATAAATTTAGGATGAACGAACGCACACATCGAGTCATCTAGATCTACATATCAGAAGCACGCGTGTATAGACTTGACAAATACCAGAAAGTATACCTTTGAAAGTTAGTAATGCCATAGAGTAATCAATCATGGGGTTTATTAACATACTTCAGGCTTGTCAGTTGTCAAATCATATACACTACAGGGAAATCAAGATTTACATTCGGAATTAGATGGGTGACACGCTTCTGAATTGAGTATACAGGAATGGAATAGACAAGCTACTATGTTGGCAAAGGCATTATCACCTAGATTGATTAGAGCCGTATGGCATGGCCTGTTTTCTTCTAAATCCATAATTCGCTAAAAATCAAACGTGAATAAAAAAAGAAATAGAAACATTAACATGTTTCTAAATAATGATTACTAAAATGTTAAAAGGAAATAATAGAAATATTTGGGAATCCTTGAAAAATTATGTTTTTGTTTTCAACGTATCTGGGTATACGCCTGAAAAAATACTTGAATAATTGGGTTCGCTTTCCCAAAATGACCATTGTCTATTCAGCAACTTGGTAACAACTTGGCTGTTATGTTATCACACTACTAAATAAACAGGGCGTAATAACCATTGTATTGCGAGCGACATCGTCATTAATATGATATGAGGATATGGTCTGAATGATAACCAATTTTAGTTCGACATATTTTCTGAGCTTTTTAAAACAGGACAGATTACATCTCTGACAATTGGGGAAAAACAAATCGACCAGGATATAATATTAAACAAATAGTTACCGAACTGGAGGTCAATGTTTAGTTTTAATGACCCGAAGAGAAAATTATTGCCCGAGAAGTAAGTCCTCTGATGGTCATTAAATCGAGATATTGACCGATACTGAGGTAAATATATGTAAATATATATATACTATTTTACTGAATACTGCATAAATAAATCGAACGTTAGAGTCATTTTGATTTGTAAACATTCACGCACGCGCAAACAATGAGGTCACTAGATTTTCAATATTGAGTTTTATCGACCGCTTTCTGACAAACCAACGTGGCTTTCACATAATGTATAATAACCATTTGTATTATAGAGTCATTTTGATTTGTAAACATTCACGCACGCGCAAACAATGAGGTCACTAGATTTTCAATATTGAGTTTTATCGACCGCTTTCTGACAAACCAACGTGGCTTTCACATAATGTATAATAACCATTTGTATTATAGGATTGTATTTAAGATTACCAGACCTCCGCATAATTTGTCATAGTCTTCCACAAAACTTAGTATGTCCACTGACATCCACGGGAACCGCTGCCGCATATAATATCTTGCTAACATACAAAGGATGCACGGTGATCGCTCATTGACTTGTTCACAATTTTATAGCGCATATTAGTGATGTGATATCTGGGAATCCAGATTGAATTTGCGTTGTGGACCAAACATATAGTGCAGTAAATTTAGCGACAAATCGTTCCTAATACTACTGATTGAAATAGAAAATCTGTGCACGACAAATACGCCTTCTAAACAAGTGCACACAAATCTAGTTAGGGGAAATTTCAAATAAATTATGCTCCAAAGCTCATTCAATCAGTAGTGATGTAACTTTCATTTAACTTCTCTTATCCTATGAATGAAACCTCAGCTGCTGGCTTGTTCTGGTATCTGTCGCATCAGTTGCTAGAAAGTGCACCTGTATATTTGACGCCTAAATACATTACCATGGCAGCCACGAAACACAAATACGTTAGCTCATCAAGTCATGTTATGATGGAGCAAATTTTCCTACATTTAATTTTCACTTTATTTTGCATCTATTCAATACCTGTTTGTCATTTGTGTTTCAAGTTGCAGACTAATACGGTGTTATTTATTACAAATAACTGTATTACGAACTAGCATAATGAAGCTATACTTTCAGCTACACCGTAACACAGGTATTGTGTGACACACTAGAGTACTATTAATAGATGTGCCGCTAAATAAAGTGTTATCAGTGTGTATCTGTATGCATCTTATAAGTCCACGCTGTTTGCATCGCGATTGATTTTGACCCTTGGACATTTTTCAACAATATGGTAAAACACTAAGAATGGACTACAGGTAGAGGTCAGAGGTCACTGACATGCAAGTAATCTCTGAGTAGTCGCTCCGGGAGTACCCAAAAATACTACAGCAAAACGTAACGGAGACACTCTAACAACAACTCTGTTCGATTCACTAAAGTAACGTCGACAAACAGACACAAGCTCAAGAATGAAATCTAAGAAGAAGACCGGGAATTCGAAAACAAAATCTCAACAGCCACCGCTCAGATTCCAAGCCCACGCGACGACCAGATCACGTGATCAAGACGAATCTGGAAACGACAGTGAAAGTACAAGTACTTATGACGGACCATCGCCAGTAAAAATGCACAGCGACATCGATTTTGAGACTTTTGTGAAATCTACCCTAGAGAGAATGGAAAGCAAGATAGACATGGTGGCGGGAGAACACAATGTAGTGAAAGAGCAAATCGAGCAAGTGGCGACAAAACAGGGTGAATTTGAACATTCACTTGACCACACCACCGAGGAGATTCAAGAATTGCGTAATGGCCACGCCGCGGCTGAGAAACGAATATCTGAACTAGAAAACGC